GTTGGCCAGGACACCCTCCTGGGAAGTCACCAGCTTTTCCTCTGTATTCACTAAACGTTTGGGGCAGATGCTTCCAACTTCCTTAGAGACAGGTGGGTGGAGGGATGGTAGATGGGTGGATGGATGGGTGGGTGGGTTGTGGATGGGTGGATGAGTTAACGAATGAATTTGTGTAGGAGGGAAAGGTGATTCCTGTCTCAGGCTCCTGGAAAGCCCTGCTCTGTGCGGAAGAGGTTTCCCTGACCTATTCCCTCAGGCGCCACGGTTGGACTGTTCTCACCTCCATCCCTGTGTTAAGCAGGCCCCCACTGCTCTTTCTTCCCTTGACAGGTGGCTTAGTGATCCACCCTGAAGGTTTCTTTTTTTTAGATTTTTATTTATTTATTTGACAGAGACACAGCGAGAGAGGGAACACAAGCAGGGGGAGTGGGAGAGGAAGAAGCAGGCTTCCCATGGAGCAGGGAGCTGGATGTGGGGCTTGATCCCAGGATCCTGGGATCGTGACCTGAGCCGAATACAACGCTTAACCCACTGAGCCACCCAGGCACCCCACACCCTGAAGATTTCTTAAGATTTTTTTTTTTTCAAGGTTTTAATTATTTTTGGGGTGCCTGAGTGGCTCAGTCGTTAAGCGTCTGCCTTAGGCTCCGGTCATGTGGGATTGAGCCCCACGTCGGGCTCCCTGCTCGGCGGGAAGCCTGCTTCTCCCTCTCCCACTCCCCCTGCTTGTGTTCCCTCTCTCGCTGTGTCTCTCTCTGTCAAATAAAGTCTTTTAAAAAAAAAAGATTTTATTTATTCATTTTACGGAGAGAGAGTGAGCACAAACGGGAAGGGGCAGTGGGAGAGGGAGAAGCAGACTCACGGCTGAGCAGGGAGCCTGACATGGGGCTCAATCCCAGAACCCTCGGATCATGACCTGAGCAGGAGCCGAAGGCAGACACTTAACTTGACGGAGCCACCCAGGCACCCCTTACCTCAATCTTTAAAAACAAAAACTAGGGGGCGCCTTGTCGGCTCAGTCGTTAAGCGTCTGCCTTCAGCTCCTGCTTCCCCCTCTCCCACTCCCCCTGCTTGTGTTCCCGCTCTCGCTGTTTCTCTCTGTCAAATAGATAAAATCTTAAAAAAATCAAAAACTAACTGAAAAATATTTTAAAAAGCCATCTTGGGACACCCAAGACTGTGTCCCACAGCTTTAGTCGGTTCTGGTGCCCTCTGCCTGGAGGTGGCTCAGGGCTTGGTCCCACTTGAGCCGCCAGCCACAGGCCAGGTTGTTAGATCAGAGGCTCCCATGAGCCCCCTCGGCCTGGAGAGCCTGCCGGAGCGGCTCCCAGAACTCACAACAGTGTGCTTATTGGTACCAGTTAGTTATGAAGGTCATAGATATGGACCAGCAGCCAGTTGAGGAGGCACGTAGGGCGAGGTCTGGGAGGGCTCTGAGCACAGGAGCTCCTGTCTTTGTGGACTTGGAGGTATGCACTCTTTCTTCTCCACACGTGGAGGCATTCAGAATCCAGCCTGGAAACTTCGAGCCCTTTCGTTGAGGGATTTCATGGAGGTTCCGTTGTGGAGGCACGAGTGATTAAATTGTCGGTGACAAACTCAATCTCCAGCCCCTCTTCTTGCCCCAGAGGTCAGGGATGGGGCCAGCGGATCCATCCTACTAACCCCATGGCTGCTTCACCCGGCCCCCAGCCCCAGCCCGCGGTCATCTAGGGCCCTTCCATCCAAAAGTAGCCGCATTCGGGTAGACTCCGGTGTGGCTGAAAGGGGCTTGTGATGGACGGCAAAGGGTTCTTCTCATCTTATCACCTTGCAACCATTTCAGAAACCGAGGCTAGAGACTGAATATCATAACAGGTGCTCCCACCTTCTTAGTTCTTAGTGTTTAGGAGAGTACGAGGCTTATGGGAGCTCTGTGCCTGAGGACGGGTGAGGACCAGAAGTGTATTTCTTATTATACGTCACGGTGCCTTGGGCCCAGAGCCCCATGGGGTGGTGGGGTGGCCCCCCAGCACAGCTGCTCAGGACGCACATGATATCCTTGTGTCATCTCTGGTGATGTGCACACTGCCCGGCTGGCATGGTGTTGGCCAGGACACCCTCCTGGGAAGTCACCAGCTTTTCCTCTGTATTCACTATAACGTTTGGGGCAGATGCTTCCAACTTCCTTAGAGACACTTGCCCCCTCTTTAGTGCCCATCAGTGGCTGAGCATGACATTTTTGTGCTTCCTGGTGGGAGGCTGGGGGCTGGTTGGGGGCAGGTTCTGGGGGAATGTGGGTGCGCAGGGGAGCCCAGGGCCCAGCATCCGCTTTCCTCTGTGTCTGGCCCCTGAGGTGACAGGGACCAAGTGCCGGGGACGCTGAGCCCTTTGTCCTCCTTCCAGTTTGAGTGGCGCCTCCCCGTTCCTGGGTGAGACCAAGCAGGAGACCCTGACCAACATCTCGGCTGTGAACTATGACTTTGACGAGGAATACTTTAGCAACACCAGCGAGCTGGCCAAGGACTTCATCCGCCGGCTGCTTGTCAAAGACCCCAAGTAGGAACGCCGGGCTGGGCAGGGGGGCTGGCAGGGAAGGCCTTCCGGCTCCCCAAGAACGTGCCCCTCCATGCTGTCCCCTCCGCGTAACTGGGAGTTGGGGTCGGCAGTGGATGCTCACGTTGGCTCCCACTGTGTCTTGAAGAGCTGTTAATTCCTTGCTGATGTTTTAGTTTTCATGTGAAATTCCAAATTCCTCGGGTACTTTTCCCAGGAAAATCTAAAACTTCTGGCATCAAGGAGCCCTCATTCACAGAGAGGGGCTCCTGTTGCTGACAGTCCTCCCCTGGTGCGAGCTGCTCATTTTTTCCACCTCTCTGGTCCCTCCTGTGGGCGCCGGAGTTGGTGAGACCCAGCGTTCGGTCTCGCCCCAGTTCACAAAACCCCTCAGAAAGCAAGGAAGACCCCGGGGCCTGCGCCCCCACTGGCCCCTTCATGGGCTCCTTGCTGGCTGAGTGGAGAATGCGCTCTGGAGATCACAGGTAGTTTTCAAGGGCATTTCAGGGACTTGCCCCCAGGCTGGAGGGGAGTCCCTAGGGGTCCGTGTGTAGGAGTCATCAGAGGTGGGGACGGAGAGCAGAGGTGCGGGGGAGAGCCTGGAAAATCCCTTCCCTGTTGTCTGCTTGTCTCTCTGCCAGCCACATGGGAGGATAGGGCACATAGCATGCGTGGCACTAACCAGGGTGGGGGGCTCTTCCAGGAGAAGAATGACCATCGCCCAGAGCCTGGAGCACTCCTGGATCAAGGTGAGGTGGGCGGGGCAGCTCCCACTCAAGGACGGCAAGGGTGACACGGTCTCTGTCTGGGGAGGGCCCCCGGGGGAGTGGGCCTGGGTGGCAGAGGGCATGGGGTGTGCCCCGAGGTGGTGGTGGTCTCCCTGTAGTGCCCGGCTGGCTCTTCAGCCGCTCTGCACGCAGCAGGGCTCCCTCCCACAGAAACTTCCAGAATGGGTGGCATCTCGGCCAGGAGCATCAACCTTCCCTAAAGTGCCAGAGAGTCTGTGTTTTCTTCGCCGCCGTCTCTGGCGTGACTGCTGAGCTCTGCCCTCCTAGCAGGAGAGCGCCAGAGCCATGTGCTGGTAGAACGGTATCTGGGAAAGCTGGCCGAAGGCCGCATGTGGCCCTCGGTGGCTGCCCCCCGCCCCCCCGCTGAGGCCACGGGCCTCTGTCTCTGTAGGCAATCCGGCGGCGGAACGTGCGGCGTGAAGACAGCGGCCGGAAGCCCGAGCGGCGGCGCTTGAAGACAGCGCGCCTCAAGGAGTACACCATCAAGTCCCACTCGAGCATGCCCCCCAACAACACTTACGTCAACTTCGAGCGCTTCTCCAAGGTGCTGGAGGAGGTGGCGGCAGCGGAGGAGGGCCTGCGGGGCCTGGAGCACAGCCGGCGCCTCTTCCACGAGGACATCGAGGCGCTGACGGCCATCTACGAGGAGAAGGAGGCCTGGTACAGGGAGGAGAACGAGAGCATCGGCCAGGACCTGCGGCGGCTGCGGCAGGAGCTGCACAAGACCGAGGCGCTGCAGCGGCAGGCCCAGGAAGAGGCCAAGGGTGCCCTGCTGGGGGCCAGTGGGCTCAAGCGCCGCTTCAGCCGCCTCGAGAACCGCTACGAGGCCCTGGCGAAGCAGGTGGCCTCCGAGATGCGCTTCGTGCAGGATCTGGTGCGTGCCATGGAGCAGGAGAAACTGCAGGGCGTGGAGTGTGGCCTTCGCTAGGGCTGCAGGTGGGGGGGGAGGGGCGCGGGGCGGAGGGCGCCCGCAGTGTGGGCCTCTGTCACCCCGGGCCGGCCCTGGGGGGTTCCTGAGCTGGGGGGCCGAGGCGGGAGGGGTGCTGGGCTGGGACGCACTCCATGGGGCTGGGAATTCGAGGCCACTTAGCTCCTCTGTCCCGCGGCCCTGGCAACTCGGGGGGGTTCTGGGGCAGCGTCACCCGGGGGACTCTGGGCTCTGCAAGCGGTTGGCTGGCGGGGGGCAGCCTCTGTGTGCAGGGCCTGTGTCGGGGGCTTTGCCCAGGGCCCGGGGCTTGGAATCAGAGGGGCCTCAACTGCCTCTGCTGGACACCAGACAGGAGGCAGCTCCCCCGGGGTCCGCGTTGGAGGTGGTTTCTTACCTGGCTCTCTCCATCCCCCATGCTCACTGTGCCCCCAGCGCTGAGCTAGCACCAGGGCCAATGGAGGGGGTGGCCCAGCCCTCGAGGTGTCGGTTTGGAGGGGCTACTGAGAGTGTGTGTGGCCGGGTGCCGTACCCTGATGCAGAAGCCCAGGGCGTCCCAGGTGCGGGGTGAGGCGCCGTCATGGCCCCACACTCCTCTCTGAAGCTCCCACGGCCCAGTATGCGGGGATGACACACCCAGCCCCCGTCGCAGCCCAGCCTTACTCCCCGTTCCAGTGCTGCCTTTTGGACTGTCAGGGCTCGCGGTAGCCCCGTTGGAGTTGTGGCCCCTGGAATGCTCTGCGAAGGCTCAGGGTCCCCTGAGTGCCCGTCCAGCCCCTGCAGCTCCGCGGGAGGAGAAAGCCCCGTTGCCCTGGACCAGAGGGGTGAAGGGGTTGCCGCGGGCAGTGCTATCGTCTGCCACTAGGTGCCGCCCTCGAGCAGGGTCAAGGGCCAGAGGAAGGGTCTAAGGTCTGGGCTTCACCAAAACGTGGGTCCCCGGCCGGTGGTGCCCTGTGCTGGTTCTCAGCTGTTGGTCGGGTTAAGAGAGTGACACCTGTGCAGCCTGTAGCCTGAGAGTTCCCGAGACAGAGGCCGTCCTGGGCCAAGTGTGGGGAGGAACCAGGCAGGGGCACTGGCCAGGACCTCAGGATCTGGCTATGGGGTCTGACTGGGCTGTCTTCCTGTGTGCCTAGGCCTGGCCCCAGGGCTGGGGTGAGCCACTGTGTACCCCTCCGCGAGCCCTGTTGTATACCCATGTGCATGTGTCTGCTGCAAGCCTAAAGGAAATAAAGCCCCACTTCCCTGACACATGGCTCTTTGTGCACTCCGGCCCGGGCACCCATGGCCGTGCCTTGCAGGCTTGCGAGTCTGTGCATCTCCCCTGCTGCCCCGGTGCTCTTTGGGAGGAAGAGGGCATCATGGGGGGCTGTGCAGGCCACCCTGATCTCGGGATTCAGCTGGTCTCACTTCCTTGTCATGAACCGGAAGCTTCCAGGCAACCAGGGTTAAGTCAGAGGGGTTTCCTGCCCTCTTTGGACCCCAGCACAGAGCGCACCCCATCCAGCTCGGAAGGGATGTGTGGCGTGCTTGGCACCCCTGCTGCTGATCACTGCAGCCTCTGGGTCTGGACTGTGGTGCCAGGAAGGAGCCCAACCATCCTCTTACTGCCTCGTCCCAAACACCCCGTGCCACATTTCTTGTTTGTCTTTTTAATTTAAAAAATTTGGATCTGACTTACCATAACATTTATCTCTTTTAATCTCTTTCTGGTTCACAACATCAGGTTTTAGCATTTCAGTAAATTTGAGCTCTTTGCTCAGACCTCAGGTCTTTGTCCCTGACGGACCTTTGCAGCTGGCCTGTCCAGCCCAGGACCTGGTGTGGCCTGCACATGTGTCTGGCCCTCAGGTCCTTTAGGATGATGACTGATCAGCCAGTCCCCCTGTATCACACTGCAGAGAACAGTGGGCCGGCTGTGGGAGAGGGGTGCCCAGATGTGCGTAGTGTGTGTGAGGTCAGTAGGCCTCCAGAGCTTGGGGGGGCCCAGGGATGGGCAGACGGCTCCGGTCCGGCCAGTGCTGATCAGGTCTCGCACGTTCTGGGCTCTGTGCCAGGCACCGTGCGGCGGTGGCGGGAGGTTGAGACGTCTGTCCTGATGCGGGGGAGGAGGGAGGACTCATCCATCCAGCTGCTGTAAGATTGGGTAGAAACAAATTCACTTTGGACTTAGATCTACACTTTCAGTATCCAGAGTCCCCTGTGCTGCCGGCTTGAATTGCCGGCATCTACTAGGTAGTGGCAGGCGTCCTTGCTTTGGAAACAACTTGGCCCCACCCCTCCTCCCTGGGTTATCTTGGTGGCTCCACTCAGCCCAGCCCCAGGTTCCTCATTCCACCATTTGAGGGCATGGGGAGCCACTTTGGGGTCACATGGCACCTAGCCAGGGCGTCTGGCTCATGCCAGGGCTTAGCAGAGAGTGCTGTCCTTTTGCAGAGCCTGTGGGGCTGATAGTTACTAATCCTGACTTTGGCCCACAGACTCTGAGATGGCCCCCGTGGATCTTGGCCCCCCGCTGTCGGCCCTTGAGAGTGGGCTGGCCCAGTGGTGGGTTCTACCCAACAGGATACAGCAGAGGTGATGGAGGTCACTTCTTGCATTAGGCTCCGTAAGACTGTGGCTTCCATCTTGCTGGCAGACTTTTGGCTCGCTGGTGCCGATGAAGGGAGCTTGTTGGGAGGCCCAGATAGCCAGGAGTGGCCGGCAAGGAGGAAAGCCCACCAACCGCATGAGTGGCCCCAGAAGCAGACCACTCTTCCCCAGTGGAGCTGTTGGATAAAACTCAGCCTTGGCTGGCACCTGGATCGCAGCCTCCCGAGACACGCTGAGCAGAGGACCCAGGTAAGCTATGCCTGGATTCCTGACCCGTGGAGACTAGAGAGAACGTGTGCTGTTTAAGCCACTATCAGCGGTCCTGTGTTACATGGCAGCAGCTGACTGATACACTGAGGAAAGTGAGCTACAACCCCTTGTCGGTTTACTGAACAATTCACCTTCTGCACCTGTCCTTTGAGGCCACACTGTCTGCTTGCTAAGCTTTCATTCCCTCTTCTTCAAGGGGCTGTGATTGGGACGCGTGGTAGTGCTGGGCCGCCATCTTCCTTCCGCTCCGAGGAGAGTGGACCACTGCGCAAGTGTGCAGAGAGGGCTCCCTGCCGTCTGGTTTGGCCTTGAGCAGAGTGGGGGCGGCGGCGTGCCTGTTTCTTGGGGTGGGTTGGAGGAATGGGCCAGGGAGCCCTGCATTGCATTCCTCTAGCGGGTGCGAATCCGGCCAGACCTGCCCGTAGGTTGGCTCAGATTTTGACTGCAGTTGTGTGTGAAGCTCGTTGGAGGGGAGGGTTTAAAGCTTGTGTTTGTCTCAAAGCAAAGCTCTCTAATTGCAGAGCGACCTCGGGCAAGTTACCCCCTCCTGCAAAAGGCGCCCAACCACAAAATGGTGGCGACTCCTCCTTCCCCATCGCCAACACTGAGGATCTGGGGGGAGCTCAGGGTGGGCTCTGCAATCGTGAAGTGTGGTGTTAGAGTAGGCGTCGAAGCTGATGGAAGCTGAGTTGGAGCTGGGCGAGGCCACTGCCACGGGTGTCCCCAGGCAACGGGTTGGGTTTTCCCAGCGTGCATCCCCCGACACGAGCTGCAGAGAGGGCACGGGGTGGGCACGGGCATCACAGTCGTGACTAGGGCCACGCTGCGCAGCTCCAGAATCAGCTCTCACTCGGTGCTCCTCCGCGGTGGCGTGCAAGTCGTTTCACATCTCCGTGGCTCAGTGTACCCCTCTATGAAACGGGCAGAACAGAACCAACAGCAGGGGTTGATTTTGAAGATGAAATGGATCAAGATACATAAAGTGCTTAAAACAGCACAGTAGCCAAAAGGTGGACACAACCAAAGTGTCCACCAACAGATGAATGGATAAAGAAGACGTGGTCCATCCACACCCTGGAATATAGTGTTCGGTTACAAAGAAACTCTGACCCCTGCCACAACGGGGACGGACCCCGAGCCCATGACCCTCAGAGAGGGAGCCAGACACAGAGGGCCACGTGGGGTGTGAGTCCACGTGGGTGACGTGTCCAGAACAGGCTCATCCGCGGAGAATTGAAAGCAAGGAGTAGAGGAGCAATGTGATTCACAGCAGCCAAACGGTGCAAGCAACCAGGTGTCCATCGATGGATGAATCAATAAACACGGCGCAGTCCATCCACGTGCTGGAACACGATCCAGCCTCAGGAAGGAAGGGACCCTGACACCTGCCACGACGTGGAGGGACCCCGAGGACACTGGGCTCAGTGAGAGGAGCCAGACCCAGAAGGACACATCCCGCAGGACTCCACTCCCAGGAGGTCCCCCAAGGAGTCCCGTCCACACAGAGAGGAGAGGGTGGGAGCCGGGGCTGGGGCAGGGGGTGGGGAGTCCGTGCTTCGTGGGGACAGAGTCTCCGTGTGGGGAGATGGAACGTTCTGGAGACGGAGGGTGGGGGTGGCTGCAGGACCGGGTGAGTGGGTTTCGTGCCGCTAACGGTGGTTAAGCTTGTTAAGCCCCGCCCTGTGCCTCGCCCTGCACCCCTCTTCCACCTGGCTGTTCCTGAGTTAGATCCTTTGTAATAAACGGGTAAGTCTAGGAAGGAAACTGTTTCCCTGTGAGCTGTTCTAGCGAATTATTGAACCCGAGGAGGGGGATGCACTGGCTGACCCGAAGACTGGTCAGCCAGAAGTGCAGGAGGCTTGGACTTGGGATGGGGGGCAGGTGTGTGGGGCGGAGCCCTGAGCCTGTGGGGTCAGCCCTGACCCCAGGCAGTATCAGATCTGCTTAATGAGAGGGGCCCCACACATGGTGTCAGGAGCATTGTGGGAGGAGAGAATAGAATGTTCTGTTAGATCCTGGTCATCCGCGGAGGAACCCCGGGTACAGTGGGCAGAGGGATAACGGGAGGCGGATACACACAGGGTGGCTCCTGGGGGTTGAAGTGTGTTCCCCAGAAAGAGCAGCAGCTCCTAAACCCTGGAACCTGGGGAAGGACACT